ATAATCAGTGTTTCATTCTTGCACTCAATGTGTTTCAGTTGGAAAAAGAAGCTTCCGATGCAAAAATTGGCAAACTGAAACTTCAAGCAAAAGCCAAACTGGCAACACTAAACAAACAGATAGAGGGACTAAAGAAAGCAGCAACTAATCAGGTATATGCTTTTCTCTGCTACAGTTTTCCTGGAGGTGTAACTTTTACAGTATAAGTTTTGTGCGGTTTATTTTGTAACATTCACAAGTTACTTTCATCCTCATGTATCAAATGTCTGAATAAAGCACAGTCTCCATTTCTTCTCAGCTATAATCAATCAGCTTTTTACCTTCCTGTTACTAGGGCAGCATAGCATAGCAATGGGAGATTGGTTGCTGAGAGAGAAACGCAGGGCATTCTTTAATCCTGCTTTTATTACAGAAGTGTCCTTTATTCTCCTCTATATCTATGTCTATTGTTCATATACCTCCATTATTGCCATTCAGGTACCTCCAGATGGAAATCAAGCTGCCTCTAGTACAGGACAGAAAGAAACACTGCAAAGTGTGCAGAACAATGAGGAAAGTACTTCGAAACTACAAGAAAATATTAATGAGCTAACACGACAGCTTCATGACAGCCAAAAGAATATTAGTGAGCTGACAAAACAGCATTCTGAGAGTCAAGAGACTATAACCACTCTCACCCATCAGCTTCAGGACAGTCAAGAAAATGTTACGGACCTCAAAAGAGCACTTCAAGAAAGTGGGGATGCTGCTAGAGAGCTGCACAAGCAACAGGAAACGGAGGTAAGTCTGGCTGACACGAGTAGTTTACAGGAAATTTGGTGGAGCAGAAAAAAATTTGGTTGCTGCCATTGCTGATTGATTTGCAGGTTGACGCTCCAGGGCTGTCATCCTTTAGTATGTCATGAGACACTGACCAGAAACAGATATGTACATATTGCATGTTGTATCTTATATGCATATTCTTTGTTCTTGATCGGTGATACGGCATGTAGTGAAGGAAAACTGAATATGCCACCCTCAAAAACCAGTAATGGCAGATAACCTATTTCTAACCTATTTCTGTTCTTTCAGTCTTCAAGAAATAAGTTGAAAATAATATAAATATTGCAGTGGCTGTAAATGTAAAAATGTGTGCATATTTAGGCTTAAATAATTTTTTGGGCATCTTAAAAAAAAACAAAAAACCTGTTGCTGAGATTACCATCCTGTGGCCAAACTGGTGCTCCTTAGTATACAGAGCGACAAAACCACTGCAGTTCCTGGTTAAGCTACTGCTTGTGGTCCAGTTCATCTTTTTCCCCAGAGGTGTCTTTTTGTAGTAGATCATCTAGTAGTTGAGTTCTGGGGGTTTGTAATGTCAGCAAAAGAAACCAATATGTAGTGTTTTCAGTGAATGCAGGCTTGGGGAATAGTTTGCAGTAGCAGTAACATTAGAGTGGCATAAGAGACCAGGCAGTGTAGATCATCTGCAGTGAAGCAGGATGGAAGACGAGGCAGAGGGATCAGTGATGATGAGAGAATACGAATGGGGGGAATCATTGATGTCAGAGATGGATGGGGGGATGGGAGAGAAGGTAGCAGAGATGAATAAAAAGACTGGAAAGATGCTGTGGGAATCTGTGACAGCAGAGGGGACAGCAGTGAGGAATTATTTCAAATAAAGTAAATATAGGAGAAAGGAGCAGGGAACAATGACTGCAAATCAGGGCAAAAGGGGCAGCAGTAGGAAACTTAACAGTGGTGTGACATAACAGATCATGTAACATGGATCAGTGATGGAGGGGCTCGATGGTACAGAAGGCAATGAGGTTCAGTGATGGTAACACTTGCTGTGTGTGGAGGCTGCAGAGATCATTGACAATGGAGCTAGGTGGGCCTATACCTGTTGTGGTCCTAATTTACACTGCTACTGTCTGCTTTCCTACTGCCTACACTTTCATTTTGGCCATCTCTTACTCTCACACTGTCACCTTTTTTTCCTATGTCCACAGAAGCGGAGGTCTTTCCAGTAGACTCTGTCCGCTACCTTCTTACTATTGCTATCTCTATCCCTATGGCCAGGGCTTGGAAAATTTGATAGTGTCTCACCAGTCAGTCAAAAATTTCACCAGTCAGCATGACCGGACTATAACCAAAACTCTGGCTTGCAAAGTAATTCAGACCAAGAGATAAGAGGTAAATTGAGAATGCAGGGCAAAGGGAGAACTGCATGAGAGAAGGAGCAGTAGAGCTGGAAGATATGGAAGACGGGTACTAAGGAACAGAATTTTTGAGAGGGGCTCGTAAAAGCAAGTACTAGGTTTTAGCATTTTGCATGTCTGTTTTAATGTTCTGTGAAAGTTTTTTACGCAGTTTTAGTGTGCCTTGCCATTCAAAGCCACCCTTTTAGACACCTTTTTATTATAGCTTTTCAGACATTTTATATTTACTTCTGTCTTTTAGATTCGCAATTTCCAGAGAAAACTTGAAGAACAAAGTAAGGCCCTTGGCTCCCGAACTCAGGTGGTGCAGATGTTAGAGCAGGAGTTGCAAAATGCTGAACTTCAGAAACAGGTAAACAATTACATATTTTCTGATGAGTTTTTTTTAACCCCTTCGTGACTGACGACGTACAGTGTACGTCGCCAGCATCGGGGCTGGTTAAATTAAACACGCGTCGGGTCCGCCCACGTATGAAAACGACGAACGCGCTACACATGTTGGGTATCGCCGCGCACGCCGGAGTGAGAGCAATAATTCTAGGGCCAGTATTTTGGGGTATCTCTAAATTGATGACCTGTGGGGGCTTTTAAAGCGTCTTCTATGGACTTTTTGGGGTACTGGGGTTTTTCGCCGTTTTACGGATGCACGCAATTTGTAACCTGGGCATGTTGGGTATCGTTTTACTCGTTGTAACCTCATCTTTTATATTTCATTAAAAAAATGGGTATTTTGTTGTGTTTTGGGGCATTTAATTACATTTTTCACTAAATATTGGGGTTTAATAAGGAGTTGCGCTAATATTGCGCAACATAAAAATTTGCAACTACTACCATTTTATTCTATAGGGTCTTGGCATTCAGAAAATATATAATGTTGGGGGGTTTTAAGTAATTTTCAGGCCTAAAATGTGGAATAAAACATGGGTACAAAAAAATGAAAAAAAGGCCTCAGTCATGAAGGGGTTAATCACAGTTACCGTTTGTTGATGTGGGAAAAATGTATAGATATAATAACATATATAATTAGGTCTTGTGTTTTAAATAATGCTTTAGGTCCTGAAGTTTAAATTCATCAAATGTTTAATGGATGTTAGTTGACAAAGCTTTGAACCCCAGCATAGATATATAGTCATCAGTTTACATTATAACAAATACAACACAATAGGGAATATTTCACACCCAATGGGCAATCCTCAAATCGGCAGTTTCCATGCGCATTGTGTGTAAGTATTTTTTACTTTTAGTCTTTGGGTCTGTTTTGCGACCAAAGCGACAGTTTTAGTTTTGTGTGATCCCGTGGCCAGACAGTGACTGAACACTTCTTTTCTCTGTTGTGCTGCAACTGTGAGCAACTTTTTAAATATGCAGATAAGTTCATAGCAGCTAATGTATTGTACAAAATGCATAGAAAAAGGCACCCGTCCCTAAACTGAGTTTAAAATAAAAAGGATGAACAATTAACAACCCCAAACAAAAAGACATTTTTAATAAATGTCCCCCAATGTCTTCTTCACTTAAACCATTGTACCCACAGGTTTAATAAACCCTTGAAGTGCTAAACTCCATTCAATGCTGCAGACCGATACTTGGTTTTAAGTATAACTAAACCAGAGAACTAACAAATATTATATTTTGCAGCTTACCTGTAATTAGATGTAGCGGCTGCATTACTTTTAATTTTTCAGGCAACGAACATTTTTAGCAAATACAGAAAATACCTGTTGATCTTGCCAGAAACGCAGTGTCCTTGCCACTTAGCATTTTTTTCTAGTTCAGCTATCACTATTTCTTTATGTTTAAACTACTGATGCCATCACCCTCCATGTAATGGAGTAGAACAAAGACATGGTTGAACTCCAGCCTGGGTGACAACCATGACTCTTTCCAAGAATACAGTGGAGGAGTGAGCATAGCCATTAAGGGACAGGAAATGCTATTCATTGGATTACCAGATAAACATTAAAGAAGAGGCCTGAAAAAAGTAAACAAATGTAACACCTCATCTAAGGACTGTAAGCTGACATATTACAATTGAATATATTCCAGTTTACCAGTCCTTAGGTGTGGAAGCTACATTAGTTTAATTTTTTTAGGCTTTCTTACCTTTGTTTTTATCTGGTAATGTGAATAACACGCTTCCAGTCCTAGGGTGACAACAGTTACTACACTGTATCTACAGCGTGAAGCATGATTTCTGGCAAGATTAACATGCTTTTTCTCTACTTGCTGAAAATGTTCTTAGAAAGAAAACCAATACAATGCAGCCACCACATCTAAGGCCTAGCAAGTATAATA